TATAGAAAGAGAGAAAGATAAGAGCTGGACAAGGGAGGAACACATGCACCCACCATCACCACCTAATTAACGAATCACGGTCTCTTACGCATTGGCCTCGCAGCCTAATTCGTTAGGCGCATATCAGTGCAACATAAACAATTTCGGACTAGGCCCACTCTGGTCTTCTCCGAGAGGTGCAAGTTGCGACACTCTTCGGTGTATAATCGCGAGGTGCGTGTCGAGGGTCCGTGAAGTGGTTTAGAGACGAGTTTGTTCTTGAATTTGTTAAAGTGCAAAATTCAGACAAAGACTCTATCTTCACGTAAAGCTTTCGCGTTATATAATCACGTTAAATTTTCAATTCAATTCATTATTCTATTTTTCCATTTAATTATATTCAATTCTATTCTTTTTAATTTAAAGTATAATTTTATTTTATAGTTTAATTGAATTTCACAATTGGCCAGCTCAAAATTCTCATTGGTGGAGTGTTTTCATGTGTGTGTGTTCTTCCCAGGAACCAGGCGTAGTTGGCATTTCACGTTTTGCAAGAGGTTGATTAATTCTAAATTCATACAAGTACAGACATTTCGGTGAGTTGTTTCCTTTATTCTTCTAGCTATTATATGAAGTTTTCGGCAAGTAAATCAGTAGTTAATTATTTAACTTTGAGATTTCCCTCACTGGATTATAATTTCATTTTGTATTTGAATAATTGTTTCTCCTTCAAATCTGCGAATTGTGCGTTTCGGATATTTATAATATTTTTGTTCAATTCATTGTAATTCACATTATATCATATACGCTACCATTCTAACCATTTCATATTTTATTATACAATATATAATCTTTTGTATTTTCTAATTATTTTGAATTACATTTCTTTAATTGCCTCCGTCATATCCTCTAAACATTGCGATCTTGTGAAAGGGCCCGTATGGGACTAGCGTATCTCCGGATCCACAAAACATTAAGTCCCGTTAACAATTAATATTGCTAGGGCAAACAAATCTTCGAGGCTTTATACGCGCGCTTCCCGCACGTAACATAGCCATATAAGTAGATATTTGTTCACCAATTGGATCACTGATTAGTTATTTAGTTATCAATAAGATTAGAAATTTATGTCTGGTGACGGGAAAAATCCTATCTAATTAATCTGCTATCGCATCTAGTATCAAGTTTATGACACAGACATGATTGGCGCTTATAAAACAGTATTACTGGAGTCCATCTTAACTTGGTCTTTTGAACCAAAGTCTTTAGACATATCTGAGAAGGTAAAACACTTGCCTAGTCTGTCTTAATTTAACACTAAATCTAATTGCAGATTGGCAACAACTACCACCACTAAAAATATGTATATAAACCTTTGAAAATGTAAAAAAGGGGGAAAATCTTCTCGAGTGTAATAAGCTACCTCTTCAGCTTAGCGCAACCTAACGCAATGTACTCAACTCGTGCGATTAGTATAACCTATCAACCTATTATCTCACATTACAAAATTGGACGCCAATCACCGTGTTGTTTTC